TGGCGAACGTTGCTGGCGCTTGGCTTCCCCCGACAATACGGGGTACTGGACCTTGGTACCACGATGAGGTGGCCGGCATCACCAAGGAATTCACGCTGTAGTACTTCATGTCTTCGAAAGCAGCCATCGTCAGCGCGGTGTAGTAGACGGCGCCGTAATTCATCTGGGAACTCATTAGCTCGTCCTTCGCGTGGCGTCTCGACCAGTGCGACGTCACACTCCCATCAACCCCTTCCTGGAGTTCCATGGCTTTTGCTTCCTGACAGTTGAAGTGCTCCCTAGTCTTGCTGAGCGTCATCTTGGATATCACGGTGCTGCCATGCTGGTCAGACGTGTCAGACTTCTTGGAAACCATGCCAAGGGCCACCATCCGATCGTACATGAATCCAAGTGCATGCGCAATCTCGTGCGCAGCGACTCGAACGGCGAACCGCACGTCAGAAATGTAGCGCGGGGCGAAGTTCATGACGCCAGCAACAGGACGCCCATTCTCTTCAGACCCCAGTACAGCACAGGGAAGTGCGAATATACTTTCTGGGCCAGCCGCGACGTACAGCACCATGTCAGCATTAACACCCTGTGCATGGTATTCAGGAGGCACGGTAAAGTTTTTGCACATAGCATCATTTTCCTTGAACTCGGGTACAATAAGCGGACTGGGCAGAGGCTTCACGAGGAGACGGTCTGTGTGGAGTTTAACAGCCGCGGGAAGGATCTTGTCGATGAGGTTGGCCTTGCGTTCAGGAGTAAGAACGTCTGATTCTTCACACGTGACCATTTCGCCCTGAAAGTTCGGGCGTTCTATCGTTTTGTCTTCAGCTGAGACCGTAGCCGACTGCTTTTCCCGACTCGACTCTGTTGCCTTCTTCTCCGGCGTCGTCTCGTTGCAGTACTTCGTCGGATCATTCAGATCCAGTGTGGACACACTGATGCGTATCGGCTTCCTCTCACTCTCCTCCTCCTTTGTCGAGAGCGTGTACGCCTGCAATCCGTTCTGCCCCTTCTGCGGTAGCTCCTTCACCACGGCCACCTCCCACGAGCCTCTCCTCTTCGCCAACTCATCGAACTTGCATTTGTACGACTCGGCGGCGGCGACGCACCCGCTGGCGCAGCACACCACCACTACCACGAGCAGCGGAAGAAGCAGCGAGGCGTGGGGATGCCGGTGCATTGTGTCTGTGTAGCTGTGTGTGTGTGCTTTCTGGTGGTTTGGCGAGAAACAGCAAAAGGTGTCTGGAGAAGATGATAAAGGGAGGAATGCGTCTGGCCCCACAAGAAGAGCAAAGCGCAGCCTTCAGGCCCCAAGTCACGGCGGCGCCACGACGTCATGGGCACCACGAGCACAGCGTCCAACAGCAGCAGCACGAAAGGCAACGGGTGCACGCCGCACTATACCCCGCAGCGCGACCTCGCCCCTCAAACTTCCGCCGCGGCCAACTACACACAGACACACACATCCGGAGCATGCATCACCAATGGTGTGGCGCATCACTGGCCCATGCTTTCGCTAGCCTAGTTAGCACTGTCGCACCACACCACACCACTCAGAACGTCACACGGCAGGTCAGCGGGCGTCTCTCCCTGTGCCACCTAAGCAACCGTAGCGCGGACAGGAAAAGTTAAAACTAACAAACAACCGTGACCTTCACCAACGCAGCAACGTCGATCCACAGTAGCGCACAAATGCCCGCAGTTCATCTCCAGAAAAGAAATTAATTTCCATGAAGCCGAAGCAAAACAATCCCATACCCCGTGTTAACTCCATTTCCCCTTCGAAAGGGCCGCGCCCATCAAAACAATCTCAATGCGTGAAGCCGAAGCAGAGGGATAAAAAGTGGAAGCCGTGCTGCCACAGCCTCGCATAGCGCCTGCGATGTCTCCCAGCTGCCTCCAAAAAGAAGAACGGAAAAAAATTGCACTCTTATGGCGCGGATTCTTTCCTGCTTTGCCCAGAGTGTTGAGCCACAAAACCGTGTCGTTGTGCTCAACAAGCAAAGATAAGAAGGGAAGGGTTTACCATTGTTCAGCGTGAACGAGCAAAAAAAGAAGGGTGATGTGTGGGCATTTACCTTTTTCCACATGCAGCTGTGTTGTGTGTGGGCCCCATTGGGTGCCGCATTGCACACCGCGCTGCCCCTGTGGGCTGCTCCCTGCCGCTGCTTCACACAGGCGCCGCCACCGCCGCGGCCACGGCAAGAAGCACAAGAGGGCNGAGGACAGCAGCAGCAGCCACGCTGCCGTCGCCTTTCAGCAGACTCGCGTCCACCTTCTTCAGGTCAGCGCCGTTCCTGGCAGTCAAATCTGACGCTTCAGTTGATGGAAGAGAAGATGGTTCCTTCTGCTTTTCAATTTTCTCTGTGCTCTCATCGGTTGGAGCAATGTTCGGAGACGGCGATTCCAATGAGGAGGTGGTGCTCTCCACTTTTTCCTCCACTTTTTCCTCCAGGGAAGCAGGTGCGCTTTCAGAAACTGGGAGCCCCGGTGGTGGAGATGAAGGCGGGGGTGTAGGTGTCGCAGCTTTGGGTACATTGCTGCTGCCGTCGGCGTTGATGGTGCAAACCTCCTCGTACTTGGGGCATGCAACACTTGCCCCCGATAAGGGAGAAGGCGCTGTCGGCTTAACGGGTGTGCCCTCGCTGCAGCTTTGCCACTCATCACTGCCGCTCAGCTGCACCTGCACCGCACCGTTGGTGCACCTCACATTTGCACACACACCTTTGACCACTGGGGCCTTGTCCTCCTTACCAAACTTCATGTCGAGAGACTCCACATCCAGGCACCACGATCCACTGCCTGTGCGCGACCCAGGGAGGAAGTCGGTTTGTTGCTCGGCGCACGCGCTTGAAACGGAGGCGAATGCTTTATTGTTGTTCGCAAACGGCTCAAAAACAGAGAAGGTTCTAGACATGCTCCCGGTGTGGCATCATCACCGGTGAAGAGGTGAATCGACCAACAGAGATCCCACTAGACGTCCGCGTTCATGATGTTGACTGCAGCTCGGTCTGCTAGAGCGGGGAGAGACCCAAAAAACNCCTTTGACCACTGGGGCCTTGTCCTCCTTACCAAACTTCATGTCGAGAGACTCCACATCCAGGCACCACGATCCACTGCCTGTGCGCGACCCAGGGAGGAAGTCGGTTTGTTGCTCGGCGCACGCGCTTGAAACGGAGGCGAATGCTTTATTGTTGTTCGCAAACGGCTCAAAAACAGAACAAGCAGCACCTGTTTCCGGCGTGACACCAACGAAAGCAGAGCATTGCCCAACAGCGAGGCGGTCAGACGTACAACGGAGTACCGTGTCTTCTGCATCGCAGAACATCTTTGACCCAGCAGGGGCACCGGCAGCACATTTTCCGTTCACAAACTCGCACCCAGCATCCTTGCCCCATGTCATCGGCTCTGCCATGCTCCAATTCACGCTGTAGTACTTCATGTCTTCGAAAGCAGCCATCGTCAGCGCGGTGTAGTAGACGGCGCCGTAATTCATCTGGGAACTCATTAGC